CCCACGCGTTGGATCTCCCACGCTCTGGAACCCCCACGCGCTGGAATCTCCACGCGTTGGACTACCACGCGTTAGACCACCACGCATGGAACCACCACGCACTGCAGCACCACGCGTTGGACTACCACGCGTGGTACCACCACGATCGAACTATAATCGTTCGATCTATCTTGGTGAGTTAGTCATTCAATGTCTCCACATTCACCACATGGATTAATTACCTGAGTAAATATTATATTGGTCGAGCGGTATCTTGCTTCCACAATAGGATATCCCTTTTGATTGGTCCAACCGTCCATCAATTCTTCCATTGACATTTCCCAATCACCTAGACTACCGGCCTTCTTCACCTCTTCATCGAAAACTTCCCAGAGGTCCGCTGGGGTTGCTGTGCTACTCTGATGCTTCAGCAAGTACCTGTATATTGTGTTGCTGAACACTTCTCTTCCGAACGTTTCCCGTAACATTCGTAACACACTGGACGCTGCAAAATCATTATATGTCTGTTATTATTATCTGAATTGGAGGAGTGGGATATTGATAAACGTGATTTAAGTCTGCCATCAACTTACATTTTCCATAAGTAACAGTGTCGAAGACATTATTTATCTGAGAGGGTGTAACAACAGGATTGTTCATTGGATGCGTGGAAGTCGTAGCGTCGTTCAGCAGCGCCGGTTGCAGTTCATCGACAACGAACATATCGTTGTAACCATTCATAGGTAGATACTGCAACAATTAATAATAAATATATTGAGGTTACATTCAGACCAATTCTTACAAATATTCAACTAACTTACCAGGTCTGAGAGTACCCATTGCATATACTCTGCGAAACCTTCGTTCAACCAGATGTATTCCCACCAATGACAGGTGACCAGATTTCCGAACATCATGTGAGCCAATTCGTGGGCTATTATGGTGATTATGTAGTCCTTGTATTTGGCGGTTGTCACATCTTTGTCGTAGAAAAGTCCGTATTCCCTGTACATAAATCTCTGTCAGTAATTGGTGTTTAAAGTGTCTAGAGACCCAATCTCTGAAATCTCTGAAATCTAACCTGAAGGTGACCAGTCCCCAGTTTTCCATGGCACCCATGTTGAAGTCTGGAATTCCTATGAGGTCCATCTTCGGGAGACTATACTTGTGTCCAGTTTCCGCGTTCAGTAACTCAAGAAGTCGCAGAGCAGCGATCTCAGCGAGTTCGCCCTTCTTCGCGATCTCGGGACGTCCCCACACTTGGACATAGCTGTTGGTGCTCCTCACGGTTTGGAAATCGGAGACGACGAACGCGACCAGGTACGAAGACATCTTTACTGTCACATCGAACGTGTCCCAGACGTAACCATCACTGAAAATCCCGTTCGAATGAGTCGTCACTCAAAATTGCACTTAGACAGGACGCTCGCGTTATATGGCAGTATTCGACTGGGACAAGTTTGTGCTCCTTTTCAGAGGTATTTTATTGTTTCCAAGGTATCATTTTTTTGTTGAGACGGGTACTTTGTCGTTGAGGTACTCACATTTCTGACTCGCTGGCCAACAAGGGCATATTGCTCAGGGCAACGTAATCTTTGGGTCTTCGTATGTGGATGCTGAAGGTCGCCTTCATGGCGGGTTCGTCGAAGCAGGGGAACGCTTGTCTGGCGAACGTCGGCTCAAACTGAGTCGTTGCCAACCATCTGTAAGATATTCGCAAGAAAGTTAATACGGTGCATAGGGGAATCTAGGAAGGACCTAAATCTAGGGGAATCTAAGAAGGACGTAAAGTATCTAGGAAGATATCAGTTTCCTACTTCCTAGATAACCTCATCAGAATGGCAAATGCTCTCCATGAACTAAAATAAGGGTATAAGTGAAAATGGCAATATAACGAGAGACCGTTATATCCACTCACCGAAGCTCGCCTTTGCTGTTGACATAGTGGCTCCTGTAAAAACCTTCCATATTATCGTTCAGATAACCCGTGAACGAAATGTTGAGCCGCACTTTGTCGCTCGTGATGAATTTTTTCATGAATATCGCCAAGGTCTGAGTGTCCGCGTTCGGCACCATGCTGCTGATTTCCAACTCTTCCGTGGACGAGTTCGCGGAGACTTGGTGAACGATCACTTTCAAGATTCCTAATTTGTGGGAGTTCAGTACAATACGAGACACGTCGTCAGACTGGCGATTTATCTCGATGAGAACTTCTCCGGTGAACTCGAAGTCGTCCTTGAATTGCGGCCATAAGTAGAGAGTGTAGGCTTCAGGTGAAAACGTGGACGGCAGTCTGTATTCTCCCCGAGAATATCGAGTCTCGATCCACTCGTGCAGTTTGGGGACGTGATTGTCCGCCCATTTCAATTCGTAGGCTGGGTCGGTTTTGTATGACTCGAAGGCTTTTGCGGAATTTGGGTATCTGTTGCTGAGCCAGGTAAGCAAGGCACTGTACTGTAATGTAAAATATATATTATGTTTTGTAGATTAACTTGGTATATTTTAAATCATATAGAACGCGTTGACTATCATGCGTTGATATTCTACGCGTTGAACTACCACGCGTGGGATTACCACGCATTGGATTACCACGCGTGAGATCACCACGCGTGGGATCACCACGCGTTGGAATACCACGCGTGGGATCACCACGCGTTAGACTACCACGCGTGGGACCACCACGCGTTGCATCACCACGCGTGGATCACCATGCGTTGGACTACCACGCGTGAGATCACCACGCGTGGGATCACCACGCGTTGGAATACCACGCGTTGGAATACCACGTGTGGGATCACCATGCGTTGGACTATCACGCGTGAGATCACCATGCGTTGGACTACCACGCGTGAGATCACCACGCGTGGGATCACCACGCGTTGGAATACCACGCGTTGGAATACCACGTGTGGGATCACCATGCGTTGGACTATCACGCGTGAGATCACCATGCGTTGGACTACCACGCGTGAGATCACCACGCGTTGGAGTACCACGCGTTAGACTACCGCGCGTGGAACCACCACGCGTGGGACCACCACGCGTTGGAATAACACGCGTTGGAATACCACGCGTTGGAATATCACGTGTGGGATCACCATGCGTTGGACTATCACGCGTGAGATCACCATGCGTTGGACTACCACGCGTGAGATCACCACGCGTTGGAGTACCACGAGTTAGACTACCACGCGTGGAACCACCACGCGTGGGACCACCACGCGTTGGAATACCACGCGTTGGAATATCACGTGTGGGATCACCATGCGTTGGACTATCACGCGTGAGATCACCATGCGTTGGACTACCACGCGTGAGATCACCACGCGTTGGAGTACCACGAGTTAGACTACCACGCGTTGCACCACCACGCATTGGAATACCACGTGTGGGATCACCATGCGTTGGAATACCACGTATGGGACCACCACGCTTTAGGCAACCACGCGTCGGACCACCACGCGTTGGTTTACCATACGTAAGCCATTACCTTCTCATAAAGCTTGCGTGAAACCACTCGTTTTCCTATTGCGTTAACGATACTGCGAGCGTCGGACTCTTTCCTGTAACTATAGTACCATGATATTAATAAAGATTCTGTTACAGGGATATTATTATACAAATCATGTTGAAATGCTTACTATTTCACCATAGCGTCGAAATTATGTTCGACAAAGTCCATCACAATTGAGGCACCCTCTGCGCTGGAGTCCATGACGTAAGTGAAGATGCTTGAACTGTCCTCGAATCGTATGGTGGACGACTTGGAAATCGCTTTGAAAAGTAAACTTTAACAGGAGAACAGCAAAATGTAGGTAAATATGATTTGTGGGTGGTTTATAGTTATTTAGTAACAGACATGGACGCAAAGTGGACTAGCACGCGTTGAACTACCACGCGTTGGACTACCACGCGTTGGACTACCACGCGTTGGACTACCACGCGTTGCACTACCACGCGTTGGATTACCACGCATTGCACTACCACGCGTTGGACTACCACGCGTTACACTACCACGCGTTGCACTACCATGCGCTGGACAACCACGCGTTGCATTACCACGCGTTGGACTACCACGCGTTGCACTACCACGCGTTGGATCCCCCACGCGTTGCACTACCACGCGTCGGATCCCCCACGCGCTGGAATCCCCACGCGTTGGACTACCACGCGTTGCACTACCACGCGTTGGATCCCCCACGCGTTGCACTACCACGCGTCGGATCCCCCACGCGCTGGAATCCCCACGCGTTGGACTACCACGCGTTGCACTACCACGCGTTGGATCCCCCACGCGTTGCACTACCACGCGTCGGATCCCCCACGCGCTGGAATCCCCACGCGTTGGACTACCACGCGTTGCACTACCACGCGTTGGATCCCCCACGCGTTGCACTACCACGCGTCGGATCCCCCACGCGCTGGAATCCCCACGCGTTGGACTACCACGCGTTGCACTACCACGCGTTGGATCCCCCACGCGTTGCACTACCACGCGTCGGATCCCCCACGCGCTGGAATCCCCACGCGTTGGACTACCACGCGTTGCACTACCACGCATCGAACCCCCCACGCGTTGAACCCCCCACGCATTGCACTACCACGCATCGAACCCTCACGCGTTGGATCTCCCACGCGTTGTACTACCACGCGTACACTCCGATTACATTGCCACCTCTACATACACTCTCACGCACATTGGCCCACTCCCAACGTATCTCATAAACGATAATACAATAAAAATGTACTGTATCCATTGTCCACATCCATTATACAATTACATTAAAATTACATACTCTTCGACGATCTGAGCATCCGTCGCACAAGCCATAGACTGAAGTATTATCAATCTGCTTTCAGAGAACGTCTCCGTTATGAAGTAGTTCCATAAATTGAACCAATATATGGGATCATTGGTCCTGGCAACCGTACACAAAACTGTGCTAAGGTAGTTAGGCTGGGGTCTGTAAAAAATAATATTCAAATAAAAATATTCTTACAAATTAGTCATGGCAGCCATATTGTTTTTGTCGTACTGAACACTGAATAAGGCCCTGTGTTTGGGACTTGCAAATTTGAAATATATAAATCGTTGAACTTAGATATTTTTACACTCAGAAATTCTAAAATATTTAAATTTTCACAATTGCGTGTTATTTTTAGAATTACTGTTTGAGTACTTACTTTGTAATTATACCCGGCCAATAGGATAACGCTTGTTCAGTGCAGTTTGATACACCCAATTTACAAGCCCACTTGCGAACGTGTGACCTGAACAATTTAGTTTCATGGCTGTCAGTGCTCTTATCCTCGAATCCCAGGTGATTATATATTGGAGTCAGTAATGATGTTAGGTATTGCTGTAAAATTTCAACAATTTTGAGATTAGGACTGTGTTGTCTAGACATCTATGTTCAAAGTGATTACATAATTATTGAAACAATAATACCTTATATGCACCAAATGCGTCCCTATTCTGCATATGTTTATGCAAATAACTGAGGCCGTTGAAGAATGCGCGCCATGGAAGGTAACTTGTCTCGTTGGCCAAATATTCCATCGCGGATAGAACGATACTGTAATCGACCACATCCGCTCGGCCAAAGTGCAATAAATCATCGACCAGCGCTGCACGATTAATTTCGTGAATCAAATTTCTTTTGTCGCTCTTCAAGAACCCGATTATTCGATTCCACGTGTCGATGTCGTAATTTGTGCGGTAGAAGCCTGGAGAATAAATAAATAAATCGATTTGTGATTTGACAAGATTTGGGAGCTGCGGCAATATAACGAGAGTGTTGTACTTAAACCGTTCTTTGCCATAAACCACGACTTACCAGATTCTTGTACGTTCAGCAAAGTCAAATTGCTACTGTTCAACGGAACAGTGGCTTCCTGTGTATTTTTGATCCAGAATTTTGGTTTCGTGTCACTGAAATCTGGGTTGTCGAGCGACGTCCACGTCAGTGGAATGTACCAGGTGCTGTTAGCAGTCGTTCCTGGTTTCAGGTAAAACCTTTGTTGTTTGACAAGCAGTTTATCAGGTTCGACGGTGACGTGGAGAACGGGGTAACCAGGCTGCGTGGTCCACGTATTCATTATATCATGGAAGGAGTTCTTGATGTCTGGGTCGCTAATCTGATCTTTGAAAGCGTCGAACAGGTCTTCGGGGGTTGCCACATTGTATTGTCTGAAGAATAAAAAAGTCCCGGTGCAATTACTATTCGCGGCTCACAAGAAGTCACTTGAGATAAGACTGCTCCTCAATGTCAATAAGCGCGTAAGGCCCCTCAACTTAACGGCATCGGTACATGAAACTGTTTTTAAAGAATAGCAGATTCAACTTGAATGAAAACTAAAATCTCACCGTTTCTCCAGGTAATTATGAAGGGCCTTGAAGAATACGTCTTGACCGAACGACTTCTCCACCATTCTGATGACGCTAGCCGCCTTCCCGTAAGATATGGTATCGAATATACCCCTAATTTGCGTGGGACTGTACACGTCGTGAGTCATGGCGTGGGTGGAGGCCGAACTGTCCGCCTCCAGAGATGAGTGCACCTGCTCCACCACAAATTGAGCTTCCAGGTTCCAATCCTCTCGTATCTGGTGGAGAGACATTCATTTCGTGGTGACTTCTGATTAATTTCTATAAGTTTGCAGTGATAGGAGGTGGTTTCACTAGGGAGGGGGTTATATTCAAAGGTAGTGCTGTGGGTTAAGTAGTATTTGTGGTTGAACATAGGTAGGCAGGTGGGACACATATGTGGATAGGCAGATAGGACACATATGTGGATGTGTAGATCAAGTATGGAGGTTATGGGGACTGTTAGATAAGTAGATAAGTCAGATAGGCAGGAGAAATTGGTGGATAGGTAGGCTAAAGTGATATGTGGACAGGTAGGACAAATAGGTAGGTAGACTGAGCACATATGTGGATAGCTAGGCCAAAGTGATATGTGGATATGTAGGGCAAATGGACAAGTAGGCACAATAGGTATGTGGATAGATCAAATTGGTTGGTAGGACTAATATGTAGGTCCATAAGTCAGATAAGCATGTAGGGACCATATGTGGATAGGTAGGCCAAATAGGTAGACAGAGCATATATGTGGATAGGTAGGTCAAATAGGTAGGTAGACAGAGCACATATGTGGATAGGTAGGTAGACAGAGCACATATGTGGATAGGTAGGTCAAACAGATAGGTAGACAGAGCACATATGTGGATAGGTAGGTCAAATAGGTAGGTAGACAGAGCACATATGTAGATAGGTAGATCAAACAGATAGGTAGACAGAGCACATATGTGGATAGGTAGGTAGACAGAGCACATATGTGGATAGGTAGGTCAAACAGATAGGTAGACAGAGCACATATATGGATAGGTAGGTCAAATAGATAGGTAGACAAAACAGATATGTGAATACGTAGTTCACATAGGTAGCCAAGTGAAGTAGGTACATATGCACCCCAGTAAGTTAGGTACCTAGCTCTAATAGTCACATAGGTAGATACTTAGGACCCATACACATACATTCATCTCAAATATGTGGATGCCTAAGTCCATCAGATGGACACATATGTTACACAGGCAATTAGGTCCTATAGATAATCACTCCAAAAGTATACCTCTGTCAGCACAAGTAAGTAAGTCACATACTCATGAAGGCTACCTAACTACTAATCATCTCCCCAGCACCAACAACCCCTCAGTACCTTCATCCCCATAAAATTACTCACCCTAGCAGTTCCATGGTACTGGAAGTACCTAGCGAAACCCTCATTCAGCCACAGGTACTTCCACCAGAGAGGGCTGACCAGGTCCCCGAACCACTGATGAGTGATCTCGTGCGATATGACATTGGTGATACTCTGTTTGGACGCTGTGGTCGAGGTAGCGTCAGAATACAGCAAATATCTCTCCTTGTATGTCAGCAGACCCCAGTTCTCCATCGCGCCCGACACGAAGTCAGGTAATGCTACCATGTCCATTTTGGGAAGCTGATATGGCAACGACAGGGCGTTCTCGTAAAATTTGATGAGGGGGTCCATCACGGATAACGCGTAGAGAGTGTCGTTCACTGCGTTTGGTCTTGACCATACGGAGTAAATCCCCTTTTGAGTTGCAGCCAAGTCGCCGACTACCAGGGCCACCAGGTATGTGGACATTATGGGGCTTTCTTTGAATGACACTTTGATTGTTCCGTCTCTGTAATTCAAATGTGGTACAGATACTTACAGGGACTTTTGATGGCAATTTTGTTGAAGCAATGTTAAGACAATGGGGGATTTGCAATGTTTTAAATAGGGGATTTGGAAGTATTAAAAGTGTGATGCAATTTGGTGATTTAAGGTTCTGTAAAATTTTGTGTACGTCTGACGAGAAGGCACGTCGATCAATAAAGATTATATTGTTCGCAGCTGTTTACTTTATAGACACACATAGCAGATACATTCGTTGCACATAAGAAGTTCTTTATAACGTTACAAATACGTATTCTTGCCAGATGCCTTCTTGTGTGCCGTGAACAGTACTTGTGACATATCAATTTGAAGAGCAAAATTAGCTTGCAATGACTACCTAAATATTTCTTAAATGTTTTTATTAAGAACTGGTTGATTGTGAGAGAATTAGTATATTTTGTCATAAGAAATTACTTACGTCTGATTCGCAATGAGACTAATCGGCATATTACTAACTGCGCTAAAATGTTGTGGTACCACGACTTGAATGTTGAATGTCGCTTTCATTGCGGGTTCGTCGAAACAGGGGAACACTTTTCTTGCTCCGACTGGCTCCAAGTGTGTTGCTGCTAACCAACTATAAAATAAGAGGAGTTGTATTAAGAAATGATTAAATTAGCAAATTAGGTGGTTGGGAAATTGGAAAATTGGGAACTTAGGGAGTTGGGAAGTTAGAGGGAATACGCATCGAATTACCGCGTGTCAAATTACAACGCATCGAATCATCACGCGTCGAATTACACCACACATCGAAATACCAGGCGTCGAATTACCACGCGTCGAATTACCACGCATCGAATTACCACGCGTCGAATTACCACGCGTCGAATTACCACGCGTCGAATTACCACGCGTCGAATTACCACGCGTCGAATTACCACGCGTCGAATTACCACGCGTCGAATTACCACGCATCGAATTACCACGCAATGAATTACCACGCGTCGAATTACCACACGTCCAATTACCACGCATTGAATTACCACGCATCGAATTACAACGCATCGAATTACCACGCGTCGAATTACCACGCGTCAAATTACCACGCATCGAATTACAACGCATCGAATTACAACGCATCGAATTACCACGCGTCGAATTACCACGCATCGAATTACCACGCATTGAATTACCAAGCGTGGTATTGCTACGCGTTGAATTACCATGCGTCGAATTACCACGTGTCGAATTACCACGCGTGGAATTACTACGTGTTAAATTACCACGCGTCGAATTACCACATATCGAATTACCACGCATCGAATAACCAAGCATGGTATTGCTACGTGTTGGATTACCATGCGTCGAATTACCACGCGTCGAATTACCACGCGTCGAATTACCACGCGTCGAATTACCACGCGTCGAATTACCACGCGTCGAATTACCACGCGTCGAATTACCACGCGTCGAATTACCACGCGTCGAATTACCACGCGTCGAATTACCACGCGTCGAATTACCACGCGTCGAATTACCACGCGTCGAATTACCACGCGTCGAATTACCACGCGTCGAATTACCACGCGTCGAATTACCACGCGTCGAATTACCACGCATCGAATTACCACGCGTCGTATTACCACATATCGAATTACCACGCGTCGAATTACCACGCATCGAATTACCAAGCGTGGTATTGCTACGTGTTGGATTACCATGCGTCGAAGTACCACGTGTCGAATTACCACGCGTGGAATTACTATGTGTTAAATTACCACGCGTCGAATTACCACGCGTCGAAAAATTGAAAAATTGGTACTAACTACCAATATATCAAAACATACCTTATATTGCCATCATCGTCAAAGTAAGAGCTCCTATAAAATCCTCTCATGTCTTCATTCAAGTACCCTTTAAACGTCACAAAGATGGATACATTCTGTCCAACTTGCAACTCTTCAGCAAGTTCGATCTTCAAGAAATCATATTTCGTATCCACACTCGTATCCACCGTTGGCACATTTTTGCTTCCTACGAGCACAGTAATTTTTTCGTGGACAAGATCCGACGAATGCAAAACGATCGTTTCTGTCTTCTCAGCGACCACAGCACTGATTTCTACTTCTCCCCGGAACGTGAAATTCTCTGCTTCGGCGACGTTGGTCTCGAGCAAGACATTGTACTTTTTGGGACTTAAACTTTTAGGTAAACGGTAGTCCGTAGTGTCGCTGGTGTTGTTTCCTGGCGCGCTTTTTTCTTCCTCGAGGTAAGACTCCACCCACGGTATGACGGCCTTTGTGTTCTCCTCGAACCACCACAACTCGTATCTCGCTATTTGAAGCGCGTTTTGCAGGGATTTTAAGATGCTGCTGAATTCCGCTGAGCGGTTTTGTATCAGGTTCTCGAATTTGTCGACCAGGAGCTCGGTGGAGAAACGTTGCGACGCTGAAGAGAGAACGCTTGAAACCATACCCAGACCGTCGTCACTGGAAGTAAGTTTGAAATCAAGGTTTCTGAACTTTTGGAATGATTGTGGAATTATATAAAAAATCCAAAAAGTGACATAAAGTCTCGTCATAGTGCACGAATGGAAGATTCTGGAAAACGGCGATATAGATAGAGCGTCTAGACTGAATCTCGACTGAGATATCGAAACAGGCTGAATCTGCATGTGGAGTTTGTAGTCAAACTTTGTAATCTCCACTTTTTATTGAATCCCTCTAATTGTTGTCTTAGTGAGTTTTCAAAGTCAAATAGCAGTAGTGACACAAATGGCAATATAACAAGAGTCTGCTACGTTTCTAATTATAGTCTCAAATTGTGACTTTAACGGGGTGAATTAATGGTAAATGTTGTTTTAAGAGTTGAAACTTACTATTCCTGCATTTTGGTGTAATATTTGTTGACGAAATTCATCACCACCTCAGCACCGGCCATTCCTGTACCGTAAACCGCAGAAAACACGGAAGTGGCGTCCTGCTTGCGGATTCTGCTCACTTCGAAACCTTGCAGTGCCGAGAGAAGATATCTGGAATTTATAATAACAATTATATAAATATTAGTATTATTTTAAATATTTGGCATCATTAAATATGTCATTCGATATAAATATCGACTATTTTTATTCAGAATACGGTTGCCCACGGTGATTCCTTAATTACCTAATTTCCCAATTTCTTAATTTCCCAACTCTCTAATTTCCTAATTTTCTAATTTTCCAACTCTCC